CAGACTGAATTCAAGTTGTTTATATTATTACGGCCATTGTTTTCAGTTGATGACGTCAGTCGTTGACCCTTAACCCTAGATGACGACCTTACTCGCAAAGAGAGGTCAACACGTTGTTTAGGCGATTGCTATTGGAAGGAAAATCTCAATAAAGTTGTGACTTCAACTGTCAGATTTGAACTTGGGGGAAAATAATCAAAATAGACAAAAAACGATGTAATCATATTTGAGTTAGTGCGTTTTTTATTTCAGTCAAACAAACTATTCCCAAATTTTAGCCCAACCATCGACCGAGTTTGTTGACTGGAAATTCTAGTGGTACTTAGGGGTAATTGCAAATTACATCAACGTCGCTGAGACGTAAATAAGGTTAGGGCACGTGATGTTTGGCGAGATAGGGTTAGGGTTAGGACTGGGATTAGCGCTAGCCTTGTTTACATCTCGTGACCTTTGACCAAACTAGATCTAACCTTATATCAACCAATAAAAAAAAAATATGTAAATAGAATTCTGCAAAGATACGGCCGGCTACTTTCTATTTCTAGCTCCCTGGTCACTCCCAACCCGCCCAGAAAGCTACTTTTCAAGAGTGAACTTTTATTAAAGGTAGCTAAATTTGTGACCAGTATAGGCCTATAAGGCCTAGATGCACATTACTTGACAGTGCAATGTTGCATATATGTCGTATTAAATTACAATTTTAAAATATTAGGCCATACTACTCGGACACAGAAATTCTGTTTTTAATTTGATGGTTAGAATATTTCTATTTATTTTGAATAAATAAGATTCAAGTTAGTCACAAATTTATAATACAAATAATAAAACTGCCAAATTTTCTCGGGGAATTCTACTGCATGGCAACAGCCAAATGGGTTAAAAATCGAAACAAATTTCAGGGGCTTACAAAATTAAGAATAATAATTATATTTGGTTGGGGCGGCACGTCGAATTACCCAATAACACCCAATAACTGCCCAATAATACCCAATAACTCCAAAATAACAACCAATAACTACAAAATGTTGACTTTGGCTGCTATCTAAATCCCACTGTGGGGCGCCGTTATACAAACACTCGTACCCCACCCCATCTCCTTTATTGTGACCGTCTAAACAAGCTACTGCCAGAAGGGAATTAAAAAGTATTCTGTTGCAAAGTAAAGCCACGTGACTAATCAGTTCCTGAATGTTATAAAATGGGTTTTAAATGAAAGTTGTGAACCAAATAGATGCCTGAGACAGCTTCACTGGGTCTCATAATATAGGCGTTGGAGTACGATTATGTTGGGGTTTTTTGTTTGTTTGTTGGTTTTTTTTTTGTTTTTTTTTTGGGGGGGGGGGGGTCAGTAGTGCCTGTAAACACACACCTGTAGTTCCGGCCTGTGGGTACACCAACCTAAATTCCAGAAAAATTGTAATCAATCAAAATGTTGCAGCTGCATTCACCGGACAGCGTCGAATGAAGAAAAAATGATCTACACCCATAGCTCCACCGAACTCCTTCCCTTACAGGTGGTCACAGTTGGTAAGACGCTAGCTCGCTAGCCTGGAGGTCGGGTGTTCAATCCCTGCATTGGCCGGAAAAGTTCATCAAAATTTTCCGGCGTGGTTCCCCTTGTCAGTGATGCAGGACGGCGGGGCTGACAAGGACGAAAAACCGAGGTCTCGTGTACACTGTACACATTGACGTGCACGTAAAAGATCCCTTGACAGTTGGAATTAGATATAAGAGTAGGCCGCAGTGCCGCTGTCCGGGCAAAATTTCCCTCATAGCATACTGTATGGCGCATGCCTGTCTTCATTAGCCCAGTTAAACTCCATTTCATTTCCTTACATCGGACTTGGTCATTGATCGAGCACTGGACAACCTGCAAGCTGTAACCGACGACCCAAGTGATCTGAATGACTGTTCATCAAGGGGTTTTTTCAGGGGGAAGAGGGGGAATTTGTTTGTAGGGGAAGCACCCCCCCCCCCCAACTTGACGCCTGAAGATACGGGCCTGGTTGTTCCCTTATATAATGTGAACCCAACTGCCTGTAATGATAGGGCTGACTGCTATGTATACAGTAGTGGTATCATTTCAAAATGGGGCTTGAGTTCTGCTCGACGATAAGACCAGTTTAAACAGCCTGTCAAACTGCATATTCCTGGTCAAACTGTAGTTTAGTAAACGTAGAGTTGTACGAGTTGTCTCCCTTGATTTACTATTTCACACTGTCACTCACTGTTTCAGCACAAACAGTTTCCCAATTTTAAATAAGAGAGTCACCCTAAGCCTGGAAATACGACCACACAGCTGCTATGTCTTGAAAAAAGGAAAGGAAAACTTGGATGTTAACCAAATTTGATAAGGATCAAGGATCCTTCAAGAAGGCAGCAGGGCTTATGCATGGTGCCCCAGGGCAAAGGTTTTAGTTACGCTCCGCCCTGCATACTGTAACTGCTTTGTTCAGTGCCTGCGACCAGTTGACCTTTTTATAATTAAATCAACTTATATGTAAAACTTTTAAGTTGATTTCCCCTTCAACCCTCCATTTGATCCAAAAACCCTATATTTCTTAGAAAAATCTTAATTTTACCTTCTTTATTTGCCGAAATATAAACTGGTTTACATAGTTTACGGGAACCAAAGGCCGGTGACTGGCTATCTCAGGCTCCAAGAAGGCTAGTCCATAAATATTTAAAGGGTTCCCCTAAGGGTTCCCCTTTGAATATTCTGGTATGCACTTAGATAATTTGCCACCCCCAAAAAGTGTCGCCATGTGAGGGCCCTGGAAGGTCGTGGAACGGAATGCTTACTATCGAAAGGGTTCGTCCTCATAAACACCCAATGCTTTACAGTACATTTGAACAAAAAATCCATTTACAACTATAGCCTATATAGCTTTCACAGGGTAACTGGAAAAGGATGCTGTCACACAGGAACGGGGTATCTTGTCATCTCAATCTCATGACCCAAGTGCTTTAGTCGCGATAACACGTTTTTCGGAAAGCGGGGTTACTCTGGGGTGGAAGGTTGCGGTATGCTGAATATCGATATTTGATAAAGATCCGTTAAAAACCGTAGCCTCTATTGACTTAACAAAATTTTCGGCAAAGTAAAGGTAACCCAAGAACACAGAAGATATTTCGTAGCTATATATTTTATCAGAACCAGTTTTACCAGTTTATATTTCTAGTCAATACTACTGGATGTTAACGTCTGCTTCCGCCTAAAGGCGTTACAACATAACAGTGTTTCTTTCCGCGAAAATATGGAACTGAGGCTGGTCGGATTTAAGTTGGAGTAACAGGAGAAAGGGCTACAGCTATTTAGGTTTGAGGCATGAAAGTGACAATTTTTGAAAAAACGTGTGCGCTATACTGTATATCGAATAGCCGACAGACACGTCTGAATGTATTCTTATTATATACTATTCAAAAAAAGTAGGGGATATTTGATTTTGGGGGCATAATACTAAAATATGCAAATGACTACGAAAAAAGTCACTATAGAACCTAACAGAAGAAACATTTCCAGTTACATGTGACGCCCAAACGCACCAATAGCTACCGCATGGAATGCAGGTGATGCTTGGGATCATCATGGGGGTCCAACCCAAGATTTGCACGACTCTGACTTTGAATGTTACAGTCATTGTGGCATTGAATTCCAGGGTGGAAACATCAGTTTAATTGTTTTAGTGACCAGAAAACAAATTTTGATATGCGTCGGCTTACCCAAAATGAAAGGTTACGTGCCCTTGGCATGCTACAGATCGGCACAACACAGGCGGTTGTGGCGCGGACGATGAATGTTTCTCAGTCTGTCATAAGCAGGCTATGGTCCAGATACCGTGATACACAATCTGTACAGGACAGACCACGTTCAGGTCGACCAAGGGCGACAACTCAAGCCCAGGATCGATTTATCCGTACCTTGGCCTTGAGAAATCGTGTCATCACAGCAAATCAGATCAGCGCTCGTCTTCAAACAGACACTGGTGTGACAGTGAGTGGCCAGACGATTCGGAATCGACTGCATAGGGGTCACCTTCGCGCCCGACGTCCTCGCGTGATCCTTTGTTTGAGAGATCATCACATTCAGGCAAGACGTCGTTGGTGTAGGGATCGTCAACACTGGGATAATCGACGCTGGAGCAATGTGATGTTTTCAGATGAGTCAAGGTTCACTGTTGATTTTTTGGACAGACGTAGGAGGGTGTGGCGTCGTCGAAACGAGCGCTTCCAAGACGTTAACGTCATCAGACATGATCGATTTGGGGGTGGTTCTGTTATGGTGTGGGGAGGCATCACTGTTGCTGGAAGAACGGCTTTACATGTTGTTGCAGGGCGTGTTACAGGCCAGTACTACCGGGACAACATCTTGGCAGTCCATGTTGTGCCGTTCGCACGACGTCATGGCCGCCGTTTCATCTTCCAGGATGACAACGCAAGATGTCACAGGGCCAGGATCGTTACAGGTTACCTCCAACAACAGAACATCACCACATTACCCTGGCCAGCACTGAGTCCCGACCTCTCCCCCATCGAGCATGTCTGGGACATGCTTGGACAGAGGTTACGTCAACGTCAACAACGTCCTGCCAATGTCCAAGAACTTGCTGCTGCGTTGCAACAGGAATGGGACAATCTGGACCAAAATGACCTTAGACGTCTCATTAGGAGTATGCCACGTCGGATCAATGCTTGTTTGGCAAACAGAGGAGGATTTACCCGTTACTGACTTGGTTGTGATGCTGTGGTAACTTTGCTGTTTGACCCCGGGTATCATTTTACCCTTATAATGGCCAGTCTGTGCCTTACTTAGTCTAACGATCATTTGGAATAAATCGATGAATGTGAACTTCATTTCATTTTGTCATTTGTTTCTTCGTCAGTTTCATTAGGTGACTTTAATAACACTTAAAAATCAAATATCCCCTACTTTTTTTGAATAGTATATTATAACATATCGGGCTAAAATATACACAACTAGCCTAGATATTCGTTAAAATTTGAACACTGTCCGCGAACGTTCCTTTCAATATCTGTCAAATAAAGAAGGGTTTTAGCACACCGAACGCCCTATGTTCCTGAAAAGACGTTAGAAACGTCGTTTTTAAAGAACAACTGTAGCACCATGGACATATGTCTGACGTGGAGAGCGGGCTACACAAACCGGTCGCCATATCCTACATATGACCCATGCATCGTTTCTTACTAGTATTGTCTCTGGCCGCGTTTGTTTCTTATTTTCTTCTTAGGACTCCACTTTAAATATTGCGTATTTGTTCTGCCACTCATTCAGTTTATGGGTGCACACAGTAACAACAATAACACATTTTGCTCCTACATTTTATATTAAGCACTGCTACATATAGGTTACAAAGTTACAAGCATAATAAAGTCATTCTCTCTAACCCGCCCTCATGCAGACTTTGCGAGTCTGCTGATGGAAATTCCTACATCTTCTCCATACGAGAACTAATGGCTAGAGCGCACATTCTTTTAATTATATATTCTCAGATTCACATCCATTAATTATTCTATTGGCTAATTATGATGTAATTAATTATGTGATTGGTCCCTCTTGCCAAATATGAAATGGTATCTTTCCTATCACGTGCTTTTAGAATTTATCCTTGAAAAATGCAAATGACCAACATGTTTACTAAACTATAGCTGCGTTTCAGAATTAACTTATACCGTAGCTAATATTCTGGCAATGGAGAATAATTAATTAAAACCATAAAATTATTATACATAGAAGTTCCTTATCACAAATCCATGACCTCAATATTACTACACAACGGGCACACGCACTGTGTATCACGTGATTCCTTTTTATTTCTCAAACCCCCGACCTAACAAAAGGGCGCTTAATACTAATAGCTTATTTCTACAAATATATTATGGTAAAGTACATACTAAATTTAGGCTGACTGTCTACGTTAGCTCCGCTTCTGAACTAATCGACATTACGATTTTAGTCGAAAATACTACGTATACTTCGAGATAGATAGATAATATGGAAGATGGTTTCAGTAGACAAGGAAGCTCTGACAGGTTGTTGTAGTCCGAATAAGTAGTCAAGGCCTGGGTTTATTTTTTTCAAATTTGGTGTCCATAGTCAAGGTTAGTTCAAGGTGTTTAAAAGAATACAAATTGTCATTTCAGCTTGTGATTTCACAAACAACTGAAGAAATACCAACATACAGTGAGAAAACAGACCTGAAAACGTTTATTAGAAAGTTAAATGGAAGTATATAGAATCGATACACTAACAATAAGAAATTAAAACGATTTGTTTGAAACAAATCTTGTACGTTTTACAATTCCTTTCTCACTACACGTAAACCACCACCTGAAATAAATAAAACAAAAAAACAACAGATATTGTTAAATCTTGACTTCTATTGCAAAACCAAATTAACGTGACCACCATCATTCCTTTATTTAAACAAGCTATCAAATAGGGTGAATATAATGGTTTAAAATACATAGGCGAATATAATGGCCCAAGCATAATGTATCCTCGCCAGTATAATCGTTAATACATGGTTGTGTAAGAAATTCTTTGTTGTTATATAATACTTGTAATAAAAATGTATTAAAACATTGTCATTTATGGTTTAAATTGCTGCTTATTTTTTATTGCTTTGTGTAGCTTAATGTTATTTCTCGGGGATAAAACAGCCGCTTCTGATCAGGTTATAAGTTAATATCAACAAATATTCAGATATCGTCCATAGACCACAAGTTCCTGGTCATTGGAAATGAAATGAAATGGGGTTTAACGTCCTACTGTTCCTGGTCCTAAACTGGGCTAATGAAGACGGGCATACGCCATACAGTGTGCTATGAGGGGAATTTTGCTCGGGCAGCGGCGCTACGGCCTACTCTTATATCGAATTCCATCTGCCAAGGGATCTTTTACGTGCACGGCATGGTCATTGGAAGGAATGTAACAAATAATATGAAGATAATACAAACCCCTTCTTTAGACAGGTTTCAACATCGATCACTTTAAAACAGTTTATCTTTAGAATATTGAAATACAAATAACCGACATCTTTCGCAGCTTTCTCTGTGGTGGATTTGAGACAGTTGTAAAAGGCGTCATCACAGTCACAATGGAATCTGTACAACACAATAAAACAGATGTAATTTGATGGAACTCAAGATGGAACTGTACAACCAAACCACGACAGACCAAAGATACATTAGTTAAGAGTTTAATAAAGAGTTGGTCATTCTTGCTATAATAATTCAAAAATAGATGATAAAAAAAGAAAATATTGAAAATTTCAGCCAAATTACTTCACTCTGAGCCAAATTATCACTGTTTATTGTTTTGACAAGATGTGTGCATAGTGTAACTAGCGCACTGGTATATTCGCGACTTAGCCTCGCTTTCTCATTTTCAAATTAAATTTTCAAAAGGCGAACCGTTCTAATCTAGCTAAAATCGCAAGGATCCGATGCCATCGAGAGTTGATTATGGTCTTGTTTTGTTAATAAATGTGTAATTAATAGTTTAAATAACATTTCAGGCCTAAAGAAAGACCTGCAATAGGCAGATTTACCTCTTGCATAATGTATGTTTAAATTAGCTAATTGGGTGTTTGATAATAAGGTGTTTCTAAAGTTATACTGCATCTTATGATAGAGCATTGATGTCCTGATGTTAACTTTTATGATGAAACTGATTGTAATTGCGCCATTTTAAATGACTAAACCTCTGAAAATAAAAAGTTTGATGTCCTTATATGTTCAGCTATACTTCTTTGCAAGCCTTTCGGACTGAGATGCTTTAACGGGTCACTCTTTTAAATGGAACCTGGATTGAAGATTTTAGTTCGGTCTATACGTGTCACAGCGCACCAAATCTATTCTTGTTACTAGTGATCTTGAGTTGCAGTCTGGTCTTATAAGATTTAAATAGTAACCGATCAGAAGACATCAGATGTGATCGTTTCTTCAACATAATTTCAAAAACTCTTAAATGTATAGATTTTTTCCTGTCTGTAAATTATAAACGAAATAATAGTGGATTCAACTCAATACAGCGCTTTATTTTTTCGAAATCAATTAGCTTCTTCAAGAAAAGTATTTATTTAGCTCCAAGGAAACGGTGGAATGAAAGGACTAAACCGGTTAATAAAATATGTTTCATATTACAACTTACTTCGAGAATAAACCATAATTAGTCAAACCATCTTTTGATTTGAATGGTAGTATATAGTTCGGACAATGGTCATGTTCCCTACAGCAATGGTCTGTTTCAGCATTTTCACCCAAATCGGAATAATTTGATGATATGTTACCAGTTCCGCACCATTTGGTTCCTGGACAATTAAATAACAAACACTTTATAAACTGCAAGAGCCAAATTGGGCTTTTGCGCCCATGATACTCATTAAGCGGTTTAGGAGGTGCCTAAACGCAAGTAGTAATAATACATTGTATAAAGTTTAGGAGGTGCCTAAACGCAAGTTGTAATAAGACATTGTCTAAAGTTTAGGAGGTGCCTAAACGCAAGTGGTAATAATACACTGTCTAAAGTTTATTCTTTGAGTTTGCACTTCTCCTATGGGCAAGGGGGGCGTCGCTTGAAGCAATCCAAATAAGCACCACAATCAAATCAAGTGATTTCTGCCTATTAGAAAGTCTTGGAATAGCTGCCGTGAATCACTCCGGCTGCAACTGTGTGATATCTATTGTATCTTTTTTCAAAGCAGCGTACAAGTCTTTTTATTTATCAAAACTTCATAAATGCAGAGACCAAATTAGCGCGGAATACGTATTAGAAACTATAGCGTAAATTACGCAGAATGCGACATGGTGTGGTGACCCGTGATCCGAAAATTGCTATTTGACATCGTTAATGAACATTATTTGAGACATAATTAAAGATACATTATGGGAGATTAGATAAAGAGCTGGCAGTTCTCAATATAATACTTAAAAACTTGATAATGTAAAGGGAATTTGCTGACAATTTCAGTCAAATTGATACACACTAAACCGAGAATTTAGCGATTGATTTTTCGGCCTAGCCTCGATTATCATTACTAAAGTATGTACGATAAAAAACATAGTCTCGATTATCCATTTCATGATTTAATCATGAATGAAAGTTGAGCAGCAAATTGGATCCTAATCCAGTAAATAAATATTGCAGGCTAGCGATGGCATCGAGAGTTGCTGATGGTCTGGAAAAGTTAATTGAATGATGTCTAATCAATAATCTATATAACATTTCAGGCCTAAAGAAAGACCTGCAATAGGCAGATTTATCTCTTGCATAAAGTATGTTTAAGTACTAATGATATATTCGAATTTGTAAGGAGAATGAAAGGTATCCAGGGATAACTAAAAGCACATCCGATAGACGAACGTTTTAGTCAGTCTGTGTAAAAATGGTGCTGCTTTGGCATAAAATTACACGCTGTTAAATATTTACACATCATTCCAGTTCCCTGAGGTTACAATTCGAAAGGAAGGATAAGGTGAAAAAATAAATTAATGCCACAAAGCAAGAACAAACTTGTTTGAAACACGAAAGTATAAACTATATGGCGTAATAAAACTTAATAGATATCATAAATAATATAGACAGTGTTCTAGAATTTTATATAATTATACAGGCTATACTAGTTATTTGACATGGTAAATAATAGCAGAAAGTTGCTAAAGGCCCGTTCTCACGGTGCGACTTGTAGCAACTACTTGTAGTATCTACATGTAGATTACAAAATCGTATATAAATGAGTTGATACGACTTGGAATCTCGCGATAATCTCGTCTTGTCTTAGCATAATGGCGTCATCAAGCTGGCTATTATTGCTCTTGATGGGTGCGCGTCGCGTCCATGTTTACCAACAACAAAGGGAGAGAACTCGTGTTTGTACTAATACTCGACGTCTCTGATTGGTCAATTTCATACGATCTGTTGACTGAAATAGGGAAGTTTCTATTTCGCTCAACTAGCTTTCAACTGATTGGGAGCTTGTAAAAGTTGGTACGACTAGGGTGTTCTCACGCTGCATCTTGGGTCGATACTACAAGTAGTTACTACAAGTCGCACCGTGAGAATGGGCCTTAAAGCATGCTATATTGTGAGCTATGGGAACATCATAAAACATAGCAGATAAATAATTTTGAGAATACAATAAGTGACAGTCTTTTTAACCATAATAAAATTTGGTTTCTAATCGACTGTGCGATAGATTTTTAATGGAGGTCTGTGTCTAAAATAGCTTACTGTTTGTAATGTTAATAACTGGCTGTCTCCACTATCTTTTGTAAAAATACAAATGGTAAAAAGAAAATATCTGCTTATATGGCGATTGTTTTCCATATAAAGGATCTTTGTATTTTTAACATGCCTAGTCACTAAATGCATTTCTAGTTAGGCAATTACATGTACATTAACGTTATATAAAAAATTCAGCGTCTACCTCTCAGGTATATATATTATATGTAGAAATTTGTGTTATATATTTTGTGACATAGAACCAGTTAATTTCAATGCCTAACAAGTGCAACAGTTTTCTGGTTTTGTCTCTCAAGAAAATGTCTATTAGTTCATCACTGGTTGTCCATTTTGCAAACAACACCAGCGTCACTCCATTCCCACTAAAAACAGACAATTCAGTCTCGTTTGCTTTTTGAACTCCTGATGGGGCATTTCATAATTGTGGACGTAAAAATAAAATTCGAAGTATTGGACACCATTATACTAAGATCAATCTTGATAGCTACCTCGACATTAGGGTATACGACCGTCAAAGTGTGTTTGTGGACCAGTGTGACCATTTCATACAATACTTTAACAAATATAAATAGCTACCTTCAATTAAAGAAAGACAGACAATTTTCAAGGAGAAAATCGCCAAAGCCTTTTTCAAAAAGAAAGCTGGTGTTGATCGAGCGCGATCGGGTGGGCCCTTCTGCTCGCAGTGCACTGTCGAATACAACCGAATGAGGTTCGTCATAACCCAAATTTAAAAAGGTCGTCACATCTTTTTCTCGGTTCGTAGGCAGCTTCCTACACTGGCTATAGGGTAATCCACCAGTGGAACCAATATTTTAAAAACTAATGATGATAAGCACTAATAATTGATGTTAGGCTATGCGATGTTCAATCACCTTTCAACGATGGCAACATTGTATCATTTACTCAGGGCTTTTCCTTTTGAACAAACCAAATAGTACGCATGTACAGAATTTAGTTTTGTTTAGTAGATCTAAATATTGTTTGTCTAAGCTCACATAATTATTTGTCACAAAAATCGACATAATCAGACATACCAGGGAAAATTAATTGTCTTTTATATCTCTTGTTGGTGGAGAGCTTCAATAAAGTGTTAATATCAGTAGTACATGAGTTGATGATGCTATGGATTTCCTCGCGTGTGATTGGTATAACAGGTGATGACGTCTCTTCTTCAAGTATTTGTTTTATAATACCCCTAAAATAACAATAAACTATACACTTAGACCCATGATATCATATTTTACATCAAAATAAACAATATTAAATCTGAATAAAACTGTATCTTTTCAACAAGAGATAACCCCAATTTCTGTGCCCCCCCCCCCCCATCCCTGGGATCTGTTTCTAGACCTACAAATAAAATGAAATGAAATGGGGTTTAACGTCCTACTGTTCTGCTCCTAACCTGGGCTAATGAAGACGGGCATACGCCATACAGTGTGCTATGAGGGAAATTTTGCCCGGGCAGCGGCACTATCGCCTACTCTTATATCGAATCCCAACTCTTTTACGTGCATTCCAATGTATACACGGGACCTCGGTTTTTCGTCTCATCCGAAGGACTAGACAGCTGTCCTTGTCAGGCCCTCCATCCTGCATCACTGACAAGGGGGGAACCACGCCGGACAATCTGGATGAACTTTCTCGGCCAATGCAGGGATCGAACACCCGATTTATGCTAAATCCTGGAGATCGATCCAGGAATAATAATCTTGAATTCAAATTTATGCTGACGATCCACCTTTTGATAAGCCCACATTTTCATGTGGACGTATATTGTCGTCGCCCCGGTCCGTCCGTCCACAATTTGTTTGTGGACACTCTACAGATCACAATCTTTATCCGATTATGACGAAACTTGAAATATAGATCTATCTCCCAAAGATCTCGGTTCCTTTCGATTTTGGCATGTATCGGATCATAACTTCGTGGATTATGGCCCCTGATTGTATGAAAAATCACGTTTTAGCTTGTGGACACTCTAGAGGTCACAATTTTGATCCGATTTTGATGAAACTTGAAATGCATGTTTATACCTCAAAGATCGTGTTTCCTTTCGATATTCGCGCATATCGGATCGTAACTTCCTGAATTATGGCCCCTGATTTTACGAAAAATCACGTTTTTAGATTGTGGTCCCTCTAGAGGTCACAATTTTTATCCGATTTAAAAAACCGTTTTAGTATATCACCGTTACACCATATCTTTATATTCCAAAATTCCCAACCCCATTTGATATTTGCGCATTTCAGACCATAACTTTCGGGATTATGGCCCCTGCTTGTACAAAAAATCGTTTTTGTTTGTAGCTTGTTCTCTATCCATCTCTTGCAAAATGTGGGCGTATCCTGCCTGGCAGCCGCTGGTTTGTCATCATAAGCAAGTTGGTTTGTTCTCGATGTCTCTGTGAAAATTTGTTTACAAAATAAAGCCTGGTAATACAACTCTCAATTTCACAAAACTCTACAGATGAGTATAAATTTGCAGAATTTTGAATAATTGCTTTGTTGTTTCTATATAACCGACAGATAAATACGATTAACTTGCCACAGATTGGCACAGAAACAATCGTCAATATATATTTATCACCATGATTATAGGCATGGCTATGAAACAAAATATTTTACATATTTGTCTCGAAAAATTTATTGTACTGACCTATGTCCGTATACATAGCATTGTTCTGTTGAAGCCGACCTCTCAATTTCTACTAAGATATCACCAGATCGGTAAAACATGGTTTCTGCTGTAACCACACATACCATACACATGTACATAAACTGTCCTATATTGGTTGAAAACATTTTTAATTTTTCCGGTTAAATTGAAGATTTAAAACAAATGTGAACAGTTAGGCCAATACTATTTTTGGGAATGTTCAACAAATGCACAATGTTTTGTATAGTTAGAAAAGTAAGTGTAAACGCTATACTTTGAAAATTAAATATAATTTATAATTAAGTCACATACGTTTACTCTTAGTATAATGTAGTATTATTTTTTCCGTAACGAAACAAATTGTACTTTGTGTCACTTTTAACTCGTATTCCGTTTTATAACACAGCCACATCCGATTTTTGTCTAAAAATCTTGTTACAAAAATGTCTACCACGAAAAACTAGTATACAGTCCGTGTATCGTTTGAAAGAATTTCTGAACACTTTTACTTGTTAAAATCGAAGGAAGCACCGACGTCTATACGATAACAACCATTATACTACAATAGTGTACAAGTCAGTCAACTAAATCAAATATAATGTTACGAGAGCGCACTATACATTGTCACCTGTTTTAACGACATAAAGCGGCAAGAGCGTAGCCAGGTTCTTAAGTAAGAGGGTGGGGAGGGAGTTCGAGCTCATAAAAAGGGCGTCATGACACAAATTATACCGGTACCAAATAATGTTTCAAAGGGTTGCCATGCAAAATACACCCACATTTTGCTAGAGATGGAAAGAGAACAAGCTAAACAAAAGAAGCGATTTTTCGTACCATCAGGGGCCATAATCCAGGAAGTTACGGTCCGATATGTGTGAATATCTACAGGAACCGAGATCTTCAGGATATAAACATATATTTCATCAAAGTCGGATAAAAAATTGTGCCTTCTAGAGGGCCCACACAACCTTGGTATTACATGCTTTTACACTATGTGCATACAAGGAGCGGCAATTTTGTCGGGAAGTTTCTGATTATTACGAAATTCGAACTCAACCATCATTATGGTGTAACGGTGATATATTTAAACGGTTTTTAAAATCGGATAAAAATTGTGACCTCTATACATAGAGGATCCACAAGCTAAACGCGTGATTTTTCGTACAACCAGGGACCATAACCCAGGAAGTTACGGTCCGATATGCGCGAATATCGAAAGGAACCAAGATCGTTGGGATATAAACATTTTAAATTTCATCACAATCAGATAAAAATTATGACAACTAGAGGGTGCACAACCTTGATATTACATACTTTTCCACTATTTGCGTACAGGAAGCGGCAATTTTGTTGGGCGGTTTCGTTCCGATTATTACGAAATTCGAACTCAACCATCATCATGGTGTAACGTTGATATACTTGAACGGTTTTTAAAATCGGGTAAAAATTGTAAAGACGTGATTTTTCGTGCAACCAGGGGCCATAATCCAGGATATGCGCGAATATCGAAAGGAGCCAAGGTCTTTGGGATATAAACATATTCATTAAAATCTGATAACAATTGTGACTTCTAGAAGGTCCACAACCTTGGTATTACGTATACTTTTACACTATTTGCGTACAAGGAGCGGCCATTTTGTCAAGCTTTTCACGAAATTCGAACTCAGCCGTCATTTGGGTGTAACGGTGATATATTTAAACCTTTTTTAAAATCAGATAAAAATTGTGACCACTAGAGGGTCCACAAGCTAATAACGTGATTTTTCGTACAACTATAGGAGCCATAATCCAAGCAGTTAGGGTCCGATATGCGCGATGTAAACATATATTTTAAGTTTCATCAAAATTGTGACCTCTAGAAGGCCTACAACCTTGAAATTCCATAATGTAACACTATTTGAGTACAAAGTGCGCCGATTATGTCCGAAAGTTTCGGTCCGATTTTCACGAAATTTGAATTTTTTTTTTAAAATCGGATAAAAAATTGTGAACTCTAGACGGACAACAAGCTAAAAACGCGATTTTTCGTACAATTAAGGTCCAAAATCCAGGAAGTTGCGGTCCAATATGCGCGGAAGTCGAAGGGAACCGAGATCTTTGGGTTATAAACATACTTTTCATGTTTCATCTAAATCGAATAAAATTTTTGACATCTAGAGTGTCCACAAGCTAAAAACGTGATTTTTCGTATAATCAGGGGCCATAATCTTATGAAGTTTTGATCCGCATGCCAATATCGAATGGAACCGAGATCTTTTGGAGATAAACCTATAATTCAAGTTTCGTCAATATCGTATAATAATTGTGAATTGTAGAGTGTCCCCAAACAAACTGTGGAGGGACGGACTGACAGGGGCGACGACAATATACGTCCACATGAAAATGTGAGCCTATTGAAATCAAAACATAGTAAAGAATGTTTGTCCAAGACCAGTCGATAATAAAAATGAAAACAATAACTTTTATCTCAATAGTGAACAAAACTTTTTTTTTTAAATATTTTTTGAAAAAGTGGCACTTTATGAAAAATTGCGCCTTTCAGACAACTTATTTAGGATTCACCGATTTTGAAGTGTACAGTAACATCGGGGATATTCAAATTAGATTATATATATGTAAACCTTGTAACAAATCTACCTGACCATCGTCGAGATATCTATAGACGTTTAAACTTTCAATTTACGAGTCATATAAATATTTGTCGGTGTTGAAGGGTTTTATAAAAACGCTTGCGAAAAATACGTTACTTGACACATATATAAGTACCTTTTTTTTGGATAATTTGGAGAATCTATGGACATTTTGATGATGTTGTGATGTTAATTACATTTACTTTCTCGGCGAGAGTAATTTAAATTGTGTCAATGCCTCAACAAATTCTATTATTTCCAAATGTATCTTAACTTATACAGCGTGGATTTTAAGGAGTTGTGGCCCACTTGACAAGGAAACTGAAAATTTGTCTTTCTACAAAAATGTATCACAGATCCGCAAGGTTTCGAAACATCTTTCACACAAAATTAACCACAATAAATCCCCGAAAAGCGAACCACGGTTAATAAACGAGCTAGTGTAGCATTTTGATTTGGGCCAATTTTCTTTGCCCCTCTTGTCCACACCCACAACAACAGGCACGGCAGGCGTTCATATAGTGATAGTGAGCCTAGTGGCACACATAGATATTGGCAACCTTTTCAGCTCATCCTTGTGTTAGTTACTTTTATATCGAGTTCATTAAAATGTGGAATATTGTTGTCAGGCAAGTTGACTATGGGGACTTGTTTTGTTTAAAATACTGAAAATCCATGTGGGATATATTTCCTTGAAACATTTACACCTCTCTACGCTCATTTTAATTTACATGCAGTATAAGCGAATGCAAGACTTAAAATATAAATTGTATAGTTATATAATATGACATTCAAAGCTATAGCAGATAAAAACATATTTTTTTGTGCCGATCTTTGTAAGACATTTGCACCTGGGATATATTATGTATGTTCGCAGTGTAATATTTCCGACTCGTTGCCTTCAGCACAACGTACATTTTACCATACGGATCAGCAGTCAATATTCGCTAGACCGCTGCAAGGCTTTCGGGTGGGGGGGGGGGTGTTTAGCCAAAATGTGACCGACTGAGATGTACATACCCCTAGTACGAGTTTCTAGGGGCCATGTGCAGTAGCGGATCTAGACGCTGGGAATAGGGGGTGGGGTGGGGGCGGTTCCAAATCTAGGCCGCCATCCACGATCCCACCCCACAATGAATGTCAACAAAATACAGGTAGAACATAGATAGTATTGTATAATTATATAGTTGTTCGCCGATCGTTGTCTCGCCGGAAAACCTTTTTATTTATGTTGACATAAAGTTTATATCATCAAATGATGATTGTGCCTATAACACTGAGCAACCTGAGAAAATTTTGAAAAATTGAGTCAATATTCTGGCATTTGAGGTCATTGCTGGGATGTATTATTGTGGGATTGAGGATCAAAAATGTGAGTCAATGGGACAGAATCTCGAGATCTTCCCCTGTCGATTCCGCCTGTTTTGCAAGAGTTGACTAACATTTGTACAGTCTGACGCCCCCCGACCCACACACCAGTGGTACTACTAATTATAATATAACTGGACAGTTCACTATAACCGTGAATATGATAGTGCTGAGACAGTATAAGACAACAGAGGAGTGGAAGAATGATGTTATAATGGAATCGAGCGCCGCCGCGGCGGCGCGAACATATTTCAGACACGTAACAGCTTTTAATTTTTTGGGATGATGACATAATGGAATTGAGCGACGATATGTAACTGAGCTTTTAATTTTTGAGGACTGTCCCCCGAGGGCACTTTATCTCAATGGGGCACTTTGCAGAGAGATTTTGCAGAATTCTGATGGTCAGAAAACACATACAACATGAGTAAAATACATTTCAATTTCTCCTGGGATTGAATATGCAACAAGTAAAAATTCTTAAGTGCAATAGATCGCATTAAAATTTCATAATTTAAAGAGTTTTTTACTATTTCTGAAACAAACTATACTTCCGATGACTTCTTACCAACTGCTCGACTAATATTATTCGTATGACAATCAAGAATATAATTTGAAATATCAAAATCTTCGAAAAAAGCTCTCTCAATTTCTTAGACCAACATACTCATAACAGGGAATTTTTTTATTCAAACATGACAAACTGACTAGGTTATTTTATACTATACCGTTGCAATTTAGGTGCACAGATTCACACCTTCATTAGCCCAGTATAGGAGCAGAACAGTAGGACGTTAAACCCCATTTCATTTCATTTCATTTCACACAAAATTATTCCCTTCTATTTTGGCATTGTTTATCTACCTCATTAATTCATTTAGTCTGAGACCGACTGCGGTGAGCACTTTTTTTGAGACCGACTATTTTTTTTTACCATGGGGGAAAACATTTCTTAGAACAACATACTCACAACAGAATAAGAGTGCAATTCATTTTTTCAGACATGACAAGCAGACATGGTTATTTTATACTATACTTTTGTGTGACGTATGCATAATTTTGAGACAGACTGTAGTGACTGCACTTATTTTGAGACCGACTGTTTTTCTCCCGGGGGGAAATTTTGTTCCTAGACCAACATACAACAGAATAAGATTGAAACACATTTTTTTTAAACATGATAAGTTGACAAGCTTATTTTATACTAAAGTTTTGCGCGAGTAGCGTGACGTATGCAGAGAGCATTTATTTTGATACTGACTGCTCTTATTTTGCGACCGACTGCACCAACTATTTTTTATCTGGAGGGGGGGGGGGGGGGGTCCCACATTTACGCCCCTGCTTTCACAATCTCTATGAAACAGATTGACATTTTACATGTATAAAAAATTTCAAAAATATAAGCTACGATACTGGGTTCACATGAGCGAATCTCCAAAGACGAGTTAATGTGACAAAATATATGTGTGGGTGGTTAGATCTATTTGATAGGGCCAACTTCAAGTTTAGTCAAAGGTCACGAGATGTAAACAGGGCTAGCACTAATGCCAACCCTAACCCTGGACCTAGACCTAATGCTTACCCTAATCCTAATCTCGCCAACAATCACATGCCCCAACCTTATTTACATCACAACGACCTTGACGAAAATTAAGCTTGCCTTAACAAATAGATTTAGCCATGTGTGGGCTATTTTTATTGTAAATAGAAAATCTACAGTGTTATGCATGGCTGCATATAAATTTTACATTTTTTTTTTTTTACCACCTACATGTATATCGCTATAGTATGTCACTGGCTATAATTATATTAATATTATAACAAAGATTTCAGTCTAGCTAAATATACCAATGTTTCTTGAACAGGCATTTCGGGGTATTTGTTTATGCTTTTCAAGATAAAAACATAATTCAAGGAAGAGTGTGAATTTACATAATCGTGTGAATTTATATACTCGTGTGAATTTACATGTTTGTGTGAATTTACATGTTTGTGTGAATTTACAAATTCATGGGAATTTACATATTTGTATCAATTTGCATATTTGTATCAATTTGCATATTTGTATCAATTTACAGATTTGTATCAATTTACATTTAGGGATATTTAACTTTTTAATATTATTGAATATTATTGATTAATGTGAGTTGTGACCCCATACCTCCTAACGCCCTCAAAAAGCAAGACACATTAGCAATACAAACAACAGAATATACTGGAATTGTTACATGTCTGTTAAATGATGCTGCACTTGCCTAATTTTCAGGGATTTAAAAATACATGTATTTTTATTGCTAGATTATAAGATTCACATTGACCTCAACCTATCTTCTAAGGCAACAGACTTCCTCAACCCAGCTCCCAACAGCCCTATACAGTCCTTCATTGGATAGACTGGAAGTCAATCTATTTATTCACGAAAACCTAAAATAAAATACTTTTCATCGGGTTGTAAAACTATAAAGAAAATATAGATCAATTGTTTTACCTATGTTTATTAATATATACACATTTGTACACTCTACTAATAATAATTACTATTTAATATGGTCATCTATATTAACAATTTTAATAATAAACGGCATCATCTTAAATGCAAAACTATATAGTTTTTGTTGAAATATCATGCATCTCCATATTTATGTGCAAAACGGATGCCATTAGTTTTTCTCTAATATCATACAGGTAATACTGACTGAAGAGAGCCAATATAATTTCACCTCAATCAAGTAATCACAACAAAACAAGTAGTCTCGGTCACTCAGAACCTCCTAGTTTTCAACGTACGGAGGGTCTGGGAGCGTTGTCAATATTTGACAGAAAGTTCCATTGCCCATGCATATCCGGGAGTTTGGTTTTTTATGTGGTTGATTATTGAGTATCCTTGGCCAAGTCAAGTAAGAGTTGCAGCTCTTCCTGCAATAAATCCCATAATTTTTGCATTATTATAAACAAACATGAATCGTGACAACGAATTAGAACATAGATATGGCCCATGACAAGAGAAATTTACAGTAAAAAAAAATAAGAATGTTGGATATTGATCTGGCAATGAAATCAAATAGATTTTCTGAATAATCTGAAATTGCACGCTTAAATTATTTCATGGGCGTCGACATAGACTTTGTTAATGTAAAAGACCGATAATCTAGCTAATGACCTATTATTCTCAAATGTTGACAACACATCCAGACTAATATTTGTAGAATATTTTTCTGGGTGACAGAGACTACAAAACAAGGACACTGGACATGATTATTGCTCCACTTGTATCCAACTACGGTAGATGTGTTTTGATCTCAAAGTAGTTTGTTAGTTTTATAATATAACATCACAGTTGACTAGTCTTCCTTCATATGTATCAATAATGTTCCCTTTGCTACTGTTTCTCCAACCTGATGAACTATCTTCTCAACAACACCAGCCTTTGGAGCTTTAATTACATACTGAAAAAACAAACAGGATTTTAAAAAAATTGTTTAAAATTTGTTTATTTGGAAATTATGATGACCAGATCAGCTAGAGGTGAACAATGTAAAAGGTTGCTTGTCGGACAGTAAACCCCTATTTAAGGGTATTGAGTACTGTAAAATGCACATTTTAAAGCTAGCACTGTAAGTTTTGTTCATAAGATATGACATTTTTTTGTTATTAGGGATGATAAACTACAGATTAATCACCCCCAAAAATTATCAATTTTATTTACCAACTATATTCCAAACTTGGCCCAAATGCATGATAATATTAATACAAGCGGTTGTCATGCAAGATATGGCCACATTTTGCAAGAGATGGATAAAGAACAAGCTAAAAAAAAACAAAAAAACACCACGATTTTTAGTAAAATCTGAGGCAATAATCCAGGAAGTTATGGTCTGAAATGTGCGAATATCGAAAGAGACTTTTATCTTTGGGATATAAAGATATATTTTAAGTTTCATCAAAATCGGACAAAATTTGTGACTGTTAAAAAATATTTTAAAATCTTTGTTCATTATTTACCCCCAAACGAGATTTTGTGATTTTGGGTAAATTCTTTGAATATGTCCATAACAAATTTTAAAATACAACAATTCGGACGTAAAAAGTATATATTTACTTCGCCGCACTCAAACTCATTTTATGCATTCAAAAATGGTAGTCTTTGACCATCAAAAAAAAAGAAATTCAGCAATGTTCCAGTCATAATAGATGGTAGACCTGAATAATCGCGTCGGTTGACCTGGATAATCACGTCATAGTGGGGATTCCTTCTGGTCACATGACTCAATAGATCGGTGGTCATCCAGCATGATACTGTTGCTGGAGGCAATCATGTTTACTGTTTGTGTTTACTGTGGATTACGTGATTGATGTGTATGACATCATAATTCATTCAACAACAGATCTAGGTTATGGAAACCTTGTTTGCTATAATTAGTTTTTTTTCTTTCCATTTGTATCTCCATTAGTACACAATAAACAGTCAAGACTCTTATGTATCCTCTGGGTTATTTTACAAATGGAACAGACATGCAAAGTCTTAATAAGATTGGCGCTTAAAAGTATCTTAGACTAGTCAATGCCCTTAAATGAAATGAAATGAAATGGGGTTTAACGTCCTACTTTTTTTTACACTGACTGGGATAATAAAGCCTGACAGCGGCACTACAGTCTACTATTTAATTGAATTCCAATTATCTAGGGTTCTTTTAAGTGAATACCAATGTGTTATAAATGGACCTCGATTTTCCAACCCATCCGAATGACTAGACTGCTGTCCTTGTCAGGCCCTCCTTCCTGCACCAGTAACAAGGGGAAACCATGATGGAAAAACCTGAGGAACTTTCTCGACCAACACAAAACCCAAGATCTCCAGGCTAGCGAGCAAGCATCTTACACACTGAGCCACCGTGACTTCTAGAAACCCCTTCTCAACTTGATTATGATTTAAAATTTCTGTAAGGAAATAGAAGCTGATCAAATTCCAGTATTTTTACTTAATTTTAATCAGCATTGAAAATAACAAATACTAAAAAATCAGTGTGAACAGCCTGAAAAACTATTCAAATTTAAATAGTCCAATATTTCTGTAAGAACTAAAATCAACATGATATCTATTCCTGATACGGTGTATTAAAATCTCTCTACAAGTCAATTTTTAGGTGTTATTACAAGAAAGAGTGAACAAACAGTAAATCAACTAAAATAATTGTTGCTTACTTCCATTTTCATTGCTATCATAATAACTAGTGAATCTCCTTGTTCTACAGTACTGCCCTCTGTTACAACCACACGTTCTATAACACCTGGCATTGGTGCTACAGCATCACCTGCAGCACCCGAAGCTACAGATGACTTCATGTACTTTGGTACTGGTAATTTAAGCTCATAACTTCCATCCTAAAAGAAGAGGATATGGTTGGAGTAGGCTATATACAAGTATCCCTTACCATAAAGAGAATTCTTGTTCTTCTTATATATGTCTGCTAGTAGGGCTGAATTCTGATTATTTATTATGACTATTGGAAGAATAGAATTCTTATTACTTCTAATAACATAACATGTCTATTATAACAGAATACTTATTACTTTTAATATATGTCTATTATATACAGTATACTAATCACTTCTAATATAATAAATATACTTATTACTTCTAATGTTACTTATTACTTCTCATAATATTATGTCTATTACGATAGAATTCTTAATACTTTTCATGTTATGCTTATCAGCATAGAATTTTTATTAAAGGAAAGATTCAATAAGAGCATTGTAATGATTAAACTGTAAAGGATCAGAAACATCAGTTTATGAAAATATATATAATAATATGTATATAATATGAATATTTCAATCTAAAGATAAATATCTAACAATTACCCCAGAGAATAAATGTAGAGAATTTCCATTAACAACGACTGATGATGTAGTTTTGATACCATCAATAAAACATGTTGATTTAAGTTGATCACCATCACCATCTATATCACCAGTAACTTGATGTTGTATACCATCTGATGTGGTCATATCATAACTACCATCACGATACTGTATTACATCTACCTTTACTTCTAAAATATATAAAACAAATACATATGCACTATGTTTTATATGCGATCTGATTAAAATACAGATCTATATATTTCGTTTCCTTTTTTTACTTTCGATGGTCCACACTACATGAAGATCTGACCGGTTGTACTGTGAGGTCAGGTCAGGGGTCATATGAGCAGCTTTTGACTCTATGACATCAGACATTGATTAATCAATCAGCGTTGACGTTTCTAGTGGTTTGCAACAGTTCCGTTCATCGCACGCCAAGAACTCGCCATAACAGACCGTTTCATTGGCTTATCCCTCACTTCAACCAGGATGCAGGTTATATAACAACTCTTCCAGATCCTAGTGTAGTAAAGACAAGTAAAACGAAATTTTGAACTATAAAAAACGAAACAAAATAGGATCTGTGTTTTAATCAGATTGTTTTATATGATGATGGAAACCAGCGGCTGCCAGGCAGGATACGCCCACATTTTCGAGAGATGGATAGAGAACAAGCTAACAAGAAAGTGATTTTTCCTACTATCAAGGGCCATAATTCAGGAAATTACAATTCAATATGCGCGAATATCGAAAGGAACTGAGATCTTTGTGTTATAAACTTACATTTCAAGTTCCAACAAAATCGGATAAAAATTGTGACCTCTATAGGGTCCACAACCTTGATATACCATATTTTTACGCTATTTGAGAATGAACGGCGGCCATTTTGTCTGTCAATTTTGGGCCGATTTTCACGAAATTCGAACTCAACCTACCTTAGGGTGTAACGGTGATTCAATAATAATAATAAATCGGATAAAAATTATGACCTCTATAGGGTCCACAAGCTGAAAACGCGATTTTTCGTACAATCAGGGGCCATAATTCAGGAAGTTACGGTCCGATATGTGCGAAGATCGACAGGAACCGAGATCTTTGGGTTATAAACTTATATTTCAAGTATCAAAAAAATCGGATAAAAATTGTGACCTCTATAGGGTCCACAACCTTGATATACCATATTTTTACGCTATTTGAGAATGAACGGCGGCCATTTTGTCTGTCAATTTTGGGCCGAGATCTTTGGGTTATAAACTTATATTTCAAGTTTCAAAAAAATCAGATAAAAATTGTGACCTCTATAGGGTCCACAAGCTAAAAACGTGATTTTTCGTACATGAAGTTTCGATCCGATACATGCCAATATCGAAAGCAGCCGAGATCTTTTGGGGATAAACCTATATTTCAAGTTTCGTCAAAATCGGATAAGAATTGTGATCTGTAGAGAGTCCACAAACAATTGTGGACAGACGGACGTTCGGACGGACAGGGGCGACGGCATAATACGTCCACATGAAAATGTGGGCGTAAAAAAGAGAAATCGGGTTTTAACCTCAACTTTACACAAGCTAGATCATTTTGGGACCAACACAGGGTACAATTTTATTTCAATATAGGCGTACAAGGTCAAGACTTAAAATAATTGTTCTAATTTTTTTAAAATAAGGTTTTGAGATATATTTACCTTGATCTCCATCAAATAATGTGACCTGTTGTTTTCTATCTTCGTTAATTCTTGTTCCAGACAACCAAGAAAATGGTGAATATGGATCTGAAAATGAAGTTAATAAAATAGACCAATTTATCCAATTGATTCATTCCACATCATAATCTTCGGTTTTAGAACTAAATTGACTGAACAATACTGATCAATGACACTTGATTATTTGCTTATTTGAGTGGCATTTAGTAATTGAACAGTAAGAATGACTGATTAGTTAATATGCAATATGTTGATGATATATACATTCATGGTTTCTTTCTACTGTATAAATACTTAGGGTTTTGCCTATACATTTTTTCTTTGTTTTTTTTCGTTAGCTGCGATATCACTTCGGTGGAAGCGGACATTAAATAAAGCTATTTCACACACACCCTACATGTTTTCACTTGCTTGATAAAGACGAAAGTACTACCATCAAATTGTTGCATGTTAATAAACTATAGCCATTATTATTCCATATGTAGTCTTTAGTGTGATGATTATTAGCTCTTAACTTAACAAATGAAAGGAATCATCTATAAATATGGAAATATTTCTGTATTATGCTATATCAATTATATAGGTTTAATTACCTAATTTGGTAGATACAATAAATATATCATTTACCTAAAGAATCAATATTCTTTGTATATAAAGAACGCTGTTTCCATAATATCAGAACCAGAGCAGCCTGACATAAGTTTTGATTGGTTAAAGGTCGACTAGGGAAGAGTTCATCTGAATACTGTGGAATAAAGTCTGTATTTACATTTCCTGCTTGGAATTCTGGGTGTTTGGCTAAATCTACTAAAAACTGTATATTAGTACTAAGACCAACAACCTAAAGTAATAAAAAGAATGATATTTTAGAGTACATTAATCAATTACATGTTAAAATCTGGAATTCATATTCTATCAAAAGGATAATACAATACATAGACAATAAAGATAATGCCAAACTATGAAGAACTCTTTGCAAAATCAACTTAAACCTTCATTTTTTTCAAAACAATTTTCACATGTCTCACATAAGTAGTATTTATTAGTTAAAACACAACAGATCTATTTATGAACTGTCTGTTTTCCGAGAAACTTTTTCCTGAAAAATGGCACAACATTTATTGAATTTTGGAAAAATATACAGGATTGACACCTTATTCATCATACTTAAATAACCCTAAACTGTTCCACAAACAAAGTATACCTACAGTATAGATAGGGGAGAGAGAGAAATCAGGTTTAACGTCCACTCGACACAAACTAGGTCATTTCGGGAATAACACATGGTTCAACTTTATTTCAATAATTCGCTTGCACGTAGGGGTCTTAAGCAGTGGGAGGAAACCGGAAAACCCGGAGAAAACCCACGGGGCTGGACAGGCGACCGACCCTACTCCTTGTCACGTTCAGCCGGGGAATTGAAACCACGCCAGTTGACTCAATGACAGACCTTATGATACAGTGTGCACATGCTAACCATTCGGCCATTACCCCCTCCCCCAGTATAGATAGAATAGGGTAACAATTTACCTGATACTGATTTAAAGCCGCTATTGTTCTTTGTAAGGCTGATTGCCTATCTTCTGACCATACAACTAATTTAGCTATCATAGGATCATAGTGTACAGATACTTCATCACCTGTAATATTTCACAATATTTAATATCTACATGGTCAATAATTTCTTTTCCTTTGAGGAAACAAACATTTTCATTCACAACAAAACCATCAGTATTATGGACATTAAAGAATTCTTCAATGTTTGAGGGCGGAAGCAGCATTTGAGTAAATATTCCTGAGGTAATATAACACTGGTGTAACACTCTAATCGTAACTTTTGGCTTCAAAGTTTTCAACAGCAGGGGAGATAACTACAGCTTCAATCATAAATGCTCCAGAAAGACAACACTAATGTTACTCAAAATAATTCAAACCTGGCTTCCACTTACCCTGTTTCGGCAATCTTTTGGCTTATTTCTAAAGAAGAATACTAATGGTTTATTGGTTTAGCAGTAAAATCATAGCACAAATTTTACCTCTTGGCTAATGAAAAAGATGCATTCCTAACATATTTTAGTTAAAGTCCTCTTGAATAAGGCCCCTGACACCACTGAGGAACTGACAAGTGTAATCTTTTTGATAATCTGAACATCAAATTGACTCTTTTACTGATAATAACTCTAGTAGCATTCATTTTTTGTATCGACCTAACCCAATGCAAACCCTGTCCTAAATCAACTAATTATATTTTGTACACACAAACTGTATAACTTTGTTAACAGATAAAATACTCTTTTTGTTACAACTTTTACCTTGCCTAACTCCAGTTTCAATTCTAATACTATCGGTGGGTGTTGGTGTGCTAAGATGTAATAAGGGACCAGCCCCAGGCATAAAATTACTGTTAGGATCTTCAGCATAGATTCTAGCTTCAAAAGCATGACCTTTGAACTTTAATTCCTTTTGAGTCTTGGGAATTCTTTCTCCACTGGCCACCCTAATCTGCCATTCTACTAGATCTGTACCAGTGATCATTTCAGTGACTGGATGCTCTACCTGTAGTCTTGTATTCATCTCCATAAAATAAAATTTCTGGTTCTTATCCATTATAAATTCTACAGTGCCTGAAATATACAAGCATATTTTACATACAATTAATTACATCAAATAGCAGCAGGACCTTGGTCAAAGTCGTTTAAGCTCTTAAACCTTAATCTGGGTACCAACTATAAAAATAAGGGTGTGAGATGATGGGTAGTCAGAATATGATAAATACTGTACCAAAAAAAATATCTGACTTTCTACACAAAATACTAATACTATAAAATACACAATTCATTTGACCTCTTTGAAAATTTGATTACCGGTAATTATAAGGCTGGTAATGATATTATTGTTTTCTACAGTAAGGGCAAATTATAAAGACAGATTCTTCGTCAAATTCCCCATCCATTTTCTTCCATCCACTACAATCGACACAACCAGAATGTTGGAAAAACAACAAGAAATAACTATTGTACAAAATGATTGGATGACATTTGCTTTTCTCAACCAATCAATAGCCCTGTTATGAACATATTCTCTGACCTGATTTAAACTGTGAAATGCATGTACGATGTACTGACATATTTACCCGAGTAGAAATAAGCATTTGCAAAGAGAAGATTGAGGGGCCCTGAATGGGAAACTTTGATAAATTTGTGAAATGAAAATGCTTTTGAAATTGGGAAAAATATAAAAAATGTCTTTTTCTTGAAAAAGTATTTACTATAATTCAGTTATATACCTTGTTTTCTCAGTGTATGGTTGATACACCGTCTCTTTTTTGAGAGGAGATCTCCTCGGCTTCAAATCAGAGCCTCACTCAAAACAGAGACAGTGTATCAACTGATACACCTTGAAAACTATATCTACAATAAGCGTAGTAATATCATGTCTTGTAATATATGCAGTCACGGTAGTAATATCAGGTTTTGTAATATCTGCAGTAAGGGTAGTGGTCTAGGCCCACAGCTTTTTTAAAATTTAGAATAAGATTAAAATAAAATATTTTAGTATTTATACCTGCACCAACATAATTAACAGCTTCAGCTGCTCTAACAGCAGCTTCACCTATAGACTTTCTTACTTCTTCACTTAAACCAGGCTAAAACATAGTAATCATAATTAAACATTTCCTATTTGAATTTTTCATAATATATCAAGACTATTTAATTTCAATTTGATTAATTCCTGATTACTTGCTGAAAAAGCCTCGGACTTGTAAACTTTGCATTCAGTGTGATATTTTTTTAAAGAGAATTATCTATCATATTATTGTTACCCAGTGAATTCAATTTATTTATTTGTTACATGGTGCTACTTACTGCTGGAGCTTCTTCTATAACTTTCTGATGTCTTCTTTGTACACTACAATCTCTCTCAAATAGATAGACATAGTTACTATGACGATCACCAAATACTTGAACTTCAACATGTCTATAATAAAAATTTCATATTTTCGTAAACAATGTAATTAGATTCTATGGACAAGATTTCTTGAAATGTAAAATCCTAATCATGATTGGGAAATGGATTATATAAAGTTTAGGCAGTGGCTATTGTTACGACAAGTCGTAAAAATAGTCCCCAGGCTATTGTTACGACGATGCTTTCAGAGCCCTCTATCGGCGAAGTTAAAAACTGAATAGCCGTAAAACTGGTCCAAACCCTAACCCTAACCATCTCTTAATTGCTGCTTTCAGTTCTGAAAACGTTGAAAATACTGCTCCTTTTTCAAAGCTGGTGTTGGGGAGATTGGCAGCCATTTTGGAATTCATTCTAAACTTTGCCAAATGAGGGCTCTGAAAGCATCGTCGTAACAATAGCTTGAGGACTATTTTTACGACTCATCGTAACAATAGCCACTGCCTAAAGTTTATTATCTGGTGCTGAAAGAAGCATATCTCATAAACCATTCTAGATAATTCTGTGAAACTCTGTACACAAATCAACTATGTACAGTAAATGTGTCCTTTGCTTATTAGAAATTTCTTGGATTTTGACTAAATTTTTTGTATATTTCGAAATGGGTGCTGAGTCTTCTTGTTTTTCTTGATATCATATTTGAAGGGTTCGTCCAATTGTGGAGTTGACCAAATATCTATAGACCGATTACTACAAACTTGTCACATGGTATTCAAAACTAATTACATGTATTGATACCTTCTCAAATATAAATTTATCTGTCTATTTATCATTTATTATGGCAAATAAGTTTTGTATTCAAAAATAATTTTACCTCGGAGTTTCAACATATTTTTCTAATAACATGATCTGATCACCAAAGGATTTCATGGCTTCAGTTTTAGCTGATTCTAATTGTGTATCAAATTCTTTTTTAGTTAGTGCTATTCTCATACCCTGAAAAAAACACAGAAAGAATAGCTATTAAGATTATATGCTCGTCGGTTATTAAGAGTTCATATCGTATCAAATCTCTCAAGGCTGTTATCTACTACATGTAATTGAATGTACAAACATTCATGACAATAAAAACTACCGGAAAAAAGGTATATTATGTACTTGGGAAAGAACTATTATTTTAATTAATGCGAAATCAAAATGTTCAGAATTTAAATCTTATCCACTTTTCTCATATTGATTTTATTGCTTATTGTTTTCATAAGTGTTTTTATTGTTTTTTTTTGGGGGGGGGGGGGGGGAGAGTGGTGGGAAATTTAGTCAGAGTTTGCAGCCAAAACTGTGCATGGTGCAAACATTCTGCCAACGTAGCTGTGGTTGGCCTCCGTCGATCTATATATTATATATAAATTGGATCATTTTTGACAAACGGATGGGACAAAAAATAATCTTAGATTGCCTATATCTCGGTTATTTTTGGATTCTTTGGACGAATCCCATATGGGCTTTGACTGATGGTTTTTGATCGATTAATATTAACATCAAAGATTTGCAAAAGTTTTCTCCTTTATTTTTTCGACATTCAAGATGGCGTATCCCTGTCACTATTTGACGTATCAAGTTGAAACTTAGTAGGAATAAGGAACACACCGATGCCTTCAAAATGGCATATTATCTTTCATTTTCAAAGACCTTGTTCGATAACATTTTCAACCGCTTGGTCGCCATATTGGATTTACAAAAAACATTCAAATCGATATTCAGCCGTCATTTTAATTCCGATTTTCGAAAACTATTCTTTGTATTGAACTTACTCCAAATGGCAACAATTCTTATGGAGTCGTCTTTTGAATTTCGATTTTGTTTACTTCCGGTGTCACTTTGAATTTTGTTTGACTTTTCACCTTCTAGATGGTGACCTAACCTTTCAATGACCCTTGACCTTTGTATGTATGATGACCTAATGTCTACTAACAATTAATATAAAAAAAAACTTGGTCATAGAGTACAAATTCCTGTCCTATTATAAGAGTTTTTCCACTTTAATAGATATTGGATGTTACTATACTCAATATTTCATGGTGTAACATGATTGTTGATGTGACAAGGCGTGGCCCGATGTAACGTGACATACCAAAACATGTCAGTACTCCTTCGGAGTTCTAGTTTATTCTGGTTTGTTAATACTTGATCCGAAATATTTTGCAGTAAAATCAAGGATCGGTTCCTAGTCCTGACACATTTGCACGGGTGAATGTTTTAAAGAGAAATTATACATGATCATTGATCAGGCAAAATAATTGTGAAGCAGACCGTGGCATATAGATATTATTCATAGAGTCAAGAGACATACAGAGAGGTTGTAAAAAATTGCAAATTATTGTTTGGTGCTGTATTTTATTGTCTAAGGCTCATATTTAAGATACATTATGTAAGATTTAGATAAAGAACTAGCCATTATTGCTATAATAGTTCGAAAGTAGATAATTTAAAATGAATAATTTGAAATTTTCATTCAAATTATTTTATTGCAAGGGAAGATATTAGCCTTTGAAGGTTTGACAGACGTGTGCAATAATTTCAACCACCGTACTGGTTGATCGAAGGTAGGTCTCGGTCCTCCATATTTGATTAAATCAAAGTATCGCTGAACCATTCTAATCTATTTAATATCGGAGAAATCTGATGCCATCGAGAGTTGATTAAGGCCTGGATCAGTTAATTAATCTCTAATTAATACTTTAGAAAACATTTCAGGCCTAAAGAAAGACCTGCAATAGGCAAATTTAGCTCTTGCATAATGCATGTTTAACTTTTTTTTGGATCTATATTGAGATTTTGTTCACAAATTTTGATTAAAAAAATCATTCAATGTTTTGAGAAACTCCAATTTGCAGTGTAAAATACTTTCAAACTTATCAGAAAAGAATTTTAAGGAACACACCTTTCCTCCACCACCTCTCACAGCTTTAATCATGACAGGAAAACCAATTTTATCTGCTTCTTTTCTTAATCTCTCATCTGATTGGTCTTCACCATGGTAACCTTCAATAATAGGTACCCCAGCCGAAGCCATGATAGCCTTAGATGTACTGTAATAAACATTTTGAAAAATTAGTTTGAAAGAATCCATGAACAATACGTTTTTTCGCACTTCATTAAAGGTTCTATAACCAAAAACTAACCAAAAGTAACCAAGTCTTCTTTGATAGGCATTTAGTAATTGAATATATTAACACAAGATATAATTTTATGGATACACAATTACTGAGTTTAATACTAAGTGACATTTTGACGAAGATACTCGCATCTTTATTAAGTCTTATTTCATGCAGCATGTAAATAAGTAGGATTTAACATCAGCTTCTTAAGTCATATCAAAATGAAATGAAATGAAATGGGGTTTAATGTCCTACTGTTCTGCTCCTATACTGGGCTAATGAAGACGGGCATACGCCATACAGTGTGCTATGAGGGAAATTTTGCCCGGGCAGCTGCACTATCGCCTACTCTTATATCGAATTCTAACTGCCAGGGGATCTTTTACGTGCATTCCAATGTATACACGGGACCTCGGTTATTCGTCTCATCCGAAGGACTAGACATCTGTCCTTGTCAGGCCCTCCGTTCTGCACCACTGACAAGGAGAAACCACGTCGGAAAATCTGGATGAACTTTCTCGGCCAATGCAGGGGTCGAACATCTGACCTCCAGGCTAGCGAGCCAGCGTCTTACTCACTTAGCCACGTGATCCCCCTTAGTCATATCAGAGATACATATGAATCAGACATAATTATCTACCTTTTTATACCCATATCTCTAATTGCTGAAGCAGGTGGTCCAATAAAAATTATGTTTTCTTTCTCACATAATTCTGCAAATTCTGTATTTTCAGACAGAAAACCATATCCTGGGTGAACAGCCTGTACATGAGAGAAAAATGAACACAAATTTCAAATTTTACAAATCTGTTCTGTGATCCAGTCACTAATTTAAGGCTTAATTAGGAAGGGCATAAACGTGCACTTTAATAAATGTCTCCACAATAAATCCTCGCAACACAAAACTTATAGTAACAGGAGCAAGCTTTTCAAACATCAATAATTGAATAGTTCCAACTTTATGATATCTGATCGAAGCAGTAGCTTTTTGTGAATTGTTTATTCATGATCACCCTTATTATTGTGCATACTGGTATTTTCTTTTTTTTTTTGACTTAAAAGTAAAATTCCTGTCTAATTTCTCCTCTGACAAAAAGTCATTCCATTAGACTTGAGATTCCTCCTATGGGGGGCCATAAGTCTAGTTTGAGAATCACTTGATAATTATAGATTACATACACAGATGAAATCTAATAAAATGTAACAGAAATACATTACCTTTGCTCCTGAGTGTTTAGCAACTTGCATTATTTTATCTTGACACAGGTAACTCTGATTGGCTGGTGGAGGACCAATCAAATAAGCTTCATCGGCCTGAAATACATATTAAAATATTCAATTCATGAATCAATTCTATAAACCTTCTTTGGTGGAATTTTGTGGTAACTTTTATGTTAACTTTCAAAGAATCCTGAAATACGACCAAGTACAGTCAAGTGAGAGTGTTGAATTATTGTAGTTTGTGTTAGTCTGCGTGAGAGGATTTCTCACATGAGTAAACCTAAACTGACAGTTCTGGCATGTACTTTAAAACCTACCACCGGTTGCCAGGCAAGATATGCCCACATTTTGCAAGAGATGGATAGAGAACAAGCTAAAATAAAAACGTGATTTTTCAAACAATCAGGGGCCATAATCCATGAAGGTATGTCTGAAATGCAAGAATACCGAAACAGACTGAGATCTTTGAGATATAAAGATATAATTTAAGTTTCATAAAAACATTGTGACCTCTAGAGGGTCCACAGCCTTCGTATTACATACTTTTACACAATTTGCGTACAATGAGCGGTCATTTTGTTGGGCAGGGGCCATAATCCAGGAAGTTATAGTCTGATATGCATGAATATCGAAAGGAACCGAGATCTTTGGGACATATATCTTAAGTTTCATCAAAATCAAACAAAGATTGTGACCTTACATTCGGATATGCGCGATTATCGAAAGGAACCAAGACTTTTTTGATATGAACAAAAATTTAAAGTTTCATCAAAATCGGATCAAAATTGTGGCCTCTATATACCATATATACCTTGATATACCATATTTTTACACTATTTGCGTACGAGGGACGGCCATTTTGTCTGTCAGTTTTGGTCCGATTTTCACGAAATTCAAACCCAGCCATCATTAGGGTGTAACAGTGATATATTAATTGTGACCTCTAGAGGGATCACAAGCTAAAAACGCGATTTTTCGTACAATCAAGGGCCATAATTCAGGAAGTTACGATTCGATATGCGCGAATATTGAAAGGGACCAAGATCTTTGAGTTATAACCATCAACCTGATATACCATATTTTTACACTATTTGCATACAAGGGGCGACCATTTTGGTCCTATTATCATGCAAATCAACCGACATTACGGTGTAACGGTGATATATTCGAACGTTTTTTTAAATCGGATAATAATTATGACCTCTAAAGGGACCACAAGCTAAAAACATGATTTTTCGTACAATCAGGGGCCATAATTCAGGAAGTTATGATCCGATATGCATGAATATTGAAAGTAACCAAGATCATTGGGGTATAAACATGAATTTCAAGTTTCAACAAAATCAGATGATCATTGTGACCTCTAGAGTGTCCACAAGCTAAAAATGTGATTTTTCGTACAATCAGAGGTCATAATCCATGAAGTTATGGTCCGATACATGCCAATATATCAAGTTTTGTCAAAATCGGTTAAAAATTGTGATCTGTTCAGTGTCCACAAACAAATTGCGGACTGATGGACGGGGGTGACAGCTTAATACGTCGACATGAAAATGTGGGCGTATAAAAATCAAGAAATATAAAAGGATCCATTACCATAGCAACATGCATAGACTCGCTATCTGCCTCACTGTAAACAGCTACACTTCTTATTCCAAGATTCTTTGCTGTTCGTATGACACGACATGCTATTTCTCCACGATTAGCAATCAGTATCTTGTCTATAGGCTGGGTTACTAAAATAATAAGTACAGAAGAAGTATCAAGTAGTGCAATATGCTAAAAAAAAATAGCTAGATCTCTTCAGAAAGGTATAAAATGATTTTTTTCTGCATATAACCTGACAGTGTTTCAACCTATGACTGTCAGATCCTCTAAAACAATAATTATAGGAACCACTTGCAATTTCAAAATAATAGGCTGGTGTATTCAAGTGATTTCACAATGACTGAACGAGGAAAAAAATAATATTTCAGACAACAAAAAAATAACATAAAATAAAGCATGGCTTTCCATAATATCTAACACCTAATTAAATGCAATAAGCAATCTTCAAGTTTGATAAATTTGTACCAACCTGTTGAGGCTTTTCTTTGATTGCATGATCTTGACCTGAAGAATATCAGATCAGTACCGGTAATTTGGTTATTATCTTACTCAATTCAAATTACAATGAATATGACTGTAAAATTATCATACAATGTCAATGGGAGTGGTTATTTGCTACTCAGGTGGCGAAAATATCCTAGAACAAAACAAATTGTTATTTGCCACTAGGGTTACCAGATTATTCATTGAAGTAACCCGGACATTTGTTATTCTGATAAGACAAAGGCAAAAATGAACCTGAAGGCAGTGAAGCACCTGTAGGGCTTGACGTAAATGAGCGCCCATAGAGTGCGATATTTTGTGGGCCGAAGGGGCGAATTTGCTATGGGGGTTGGGAGTATGCAGCCCCAGAATTTTTTTCACTTCTAGAAGCTGGTAGTAAGTTTTCCATCATTTTGTGAAGGTAGTAAGTTACACTAAACATATTATGCTGTTGAATGGACAATTGATGGGTATTATTATTACGATTTGTCAACTTGTAGATTGTTTTACAAGTCTTAATTAAATGTATTGTATTTTGTATTGTGTTATAAAGTCTGTAAACCTCTACGTCGTTAACCAATAAAATTATACCCAAGATCATACGTCAATTTCTATATAGACAAGCATATTCCAATTCCTGTTTTAGGCCTGTAATATGCACTGAACTATATTTAGATGATGAAGCACGAGTGTTTGTAGCAAACAAAGTATACATTAATCACTAGTATATGTGTTTTGTGTTATTATTTTCAATTGAAAAACACCTAATGTAAAAACCGGGACATTTAGGCTCATGAGAGGCAGGACAGAAGAAAAGACCACCCAAAACTGGGACTATCCCGGTAAAACCGGGATGTATGGCAATCCTATTTGGCACTTGATGTAAACAATAAACATCGTGGTATTCTCTAGAACATTAAAGATACATTATGTAAGATTCAGATAAAGAGTTGTCTGTTCTTGCTATAATAGTTCAAAAATAGATAATGCAAAATGAATATATTGAAAACTTCATTCAAATTACTTTATTCTGAGCCAAGTTAAATCACTGTTTGTAGTATTTGACCCACTGTGTGCATTGATTGTTTATTTATCGTAACCATGGTACTGGTATATTTGAGTCTTAGCTTCACTTGGGTGGCAAATATCCATGCTGCTTTCAGCCAAGTGACAGATAGAGAAACCTCCATTTAATGTACGGTACGGTTCTAGCCTATATTCTAAGGTTAGGTTTAGCATTTGGGTTAGTATAGGAAATAAATACAATCATGCTTGGCAAATTACTCTTTGCCAGCCAGGTGGTGAATAGCCTCAATCGTGCTAACAAAATTTTCAGGAAAGTGGGTGTTTTAACTCATGTTTACATGGGACTAATTAATTTATTTGTTCCATTTGGGCCATTGACAATTAGGGCGACCCTAACAGGAAAATCCCCAGGCAGGAACACTGAGATCAAATCTGGGATTCCCAATAATTACTAAACTTGCACACTTGTTTCACATAAGGTCATACATTTGATACCAACATAACCATGGAATGGAAGCGATGGACCTTATAATTAATATAGAGCGAAGCTCTAAAGCATCGCGCGAAGCGCGGTGCTTGAGCAAAGCTCTTTTCCGGTAACACAGGAGCGTAACTGAAATTGTCACCCACAGACTGTTGATTAAAAAAAAATTCAGACCGGAACCGGATACGCTGGGCAAAACAGGCAATGCGCATGTCAACTTACCAAATCTCGCCCAAGCGAGATTACGCGCCTCATAGAACTATTTCTATGACGCGTCTAATCAATGACGTCACATATTTTTGATGTCAATGAAAATAATTCTCACACTTTCTTGTTCTTTTTTTAAAAACAAAATTAATGTATACAATTTAGATCTAAATGAAAATCAATTTGGAAAAACTAAATTATTTAACATTTTTTGTATCACTTGAGAAAATTAATTATGAAGGTTTTATATTTGACAATAATCAGCTTCGCTCTACTCAGGCAATGCATGCCTGTTACATATTATATAATATTACGGTATCTATCTTTAATAGTGTCTATTCTAATATGCTTGGTACAGGACTAGGAGTAGGAGCGATTATCTTTTATTGATCTTCTTTGACAACACTTCTTTTCTGTTTAGTAATAACAATTTGTACTCTCAGATAACTCACCGTGTGAGATTTCTAAGAATCTGCTTTGTATTTGAAAATCTAGAAGCCATTCCTGCAAATACTATCAGAGTTGAAGATAAATTAAAAGTTTTATTTATTTTTATCATGTGGCCCCTCACATCATTAAAAAAGAACAATTAAAGTTATCCCCCCTGAGAAAATTCAGTTGCGCGGTCGCTTACACCATGAACAGAAATGAAGTTACCTCCCATTACCCAAAGGGCAACTGTCAAACTGATCGCAGTGAATATTCGCGTGGCCGCTATAATAAAGCTTACGCATTACCTCTGTTAGAATTGTGACCTGTGTACTCTGTTAAAACAGATGAAATAACCGCCAGCGCCCACCGCTTGTAACCAAACTCCTTGTCAATTTTAGGCCAGGGCACTGCAATAATTGTCACGAAATAGATTTAATTTGAACGGACAGGTATGATTTCAGTATAACCTATAGGCCCCTACTGCAACGGTTTATCCAGCATTTTCCCCGAGAGGATTTTATCTATAACTCCAGATAAGAAAGCAATAGATAGGCCTTATTATCCGATAAATAAATAAAAAATTGTATAATACACTGCCCATCTTTAAAAATCAGATACGATCCGAACATTTATTGATTTTAAAATGTCATATGATATATGTTCCAGAATTGTATCAGTTATCTGCTTCGTGCACGATAACTTTTTTTAATACAAGAATAGTATTGTGTCTAAATGTTTTGCTAATCCAAACTTGGTTTCTTTAGTCTGGGAGAAAAATTCTGCTAATCCCCAGCGATGAAAATCAGAAATTGCCAAAATAACGTCAATCATTCTAACAAGAAATCTTGTAAAGCCTTGATAAGCATCTTCTAGGTTTTATCTACCAGTCCCTTGTGGCTTTCGCCAATTACCACACATACGAAAATGAGACTTGAAGTCTGGTCTACATCTGGAATAATTCCTATCTTCCCGCCAGATTGTCCGTTAAGTAAACAGACATGACGTTTTACATTCCAAGCGGCACGCACCACCCATTAAGTGTTGAAAAAAAACGCACGTGGCAAATGGCACCACAGAAATGCTAAGCGATAGCCACTGGTCAGTATAAAATAATTGATACGCTACACACGTCTACATTCGGAAAGCATTTTGTATGATGGGAGATTATGCCTTTGCTCTGCCAAAAAGTGAGTTGTTCGGGCCGTAGGCCTATTCTTTGACAAAATTGTGCAAACAAAAAATTTATTAGCACTTCACCAAAATGAAAGGGCCCATTACGTCCGCAGTGGTGCTGTTTTTTTGGAGGTTGTTGCTTACTTATTCCAAAACTAACGACGATAATTCATCAGACAAGTCTAAACTCAAAATAATAATAAAATATATACAAAGATACACTATATCAAATATGTACTTCCTCGCGCGAGCCCGGCAAATAAATATCAGTGGAAAATTAACAACGTACGAGCAGAGATCAAGCGTCGAAATATTTTGAAATTCAGACATATTGACTTATGGAGTGACTATTAACTAATTGTGGATTTAGCTCCTGTTGATAACTTGCACCTGGCAATTTTATCTGCATATTACTTTATAGGTATAAGATAATCTAGAATATGTGAAGAGGGGAATCTACTCAACAGTTTCAATTAATTACATTAATTTATAGCATATTAATGTTATCGTTTTATAGATAAAAGACACGTAAATTATTTATTACCGAAAAACGCTGGATTTTGGCCAAATAGAATTTCGAGATATTCCCCGTTTTATTTACATGTATATATATCGGAATTAGTGATTTATAAACGAATATATAATAGAATTGATATTTTGCCAGAATACAACAAGTGTTTTATCAATAGAACCTGAAGAAAGATCGGAAAAACTGGTGAAAGTTAGAAGTAATGTAATGCTTTAAATTACAACCGTTGTCGACTAAAGAATGTAAGGTCTATAGGCTTTTTGTATCAGTAAGACGGTAGTTTCACCCCAAACCATTTTAGACTTAGTTTATGGAATGATTTATATTTCCTCTTCCAGGATAAAGCTGTTACTGGTATACTAAAAACTGAACCAATAAACCCCTTTATAAGCATTTGGCGAACGTGTTTCTATATATTCCACAATAAGACACACAAATATGCTAATTCCAGTAAAAGGATAAGAAAATAAAAGATTTTATTATGTAAATGTATAAACATCTCCTTGGGTTCTAAGCATACCCGCAGGTTTGCAATCAAGCCGTTTAGTTCAATTAACTATATACGTATAAACAGTTAATTTTTTTGTACTTTTGACACTCGAACTTTACATCAACAACTGATAAACTAAACAGTTTTATATCAAAATGAATTTATACTATCTTAACACTTGTCTTCAACCTTAATTATACCTCGTGCAATAGATTTATATCTTAGCAACTCCGACATGCACTTCTCAGTTGCAAAGATTTCCTGACACGTTTGGTGTCCCGTAACGAATAGCACCGACAGCTGATCATGAGAATTTACGGAAGACTATTCTTAACAACACGATTAAGTTTGCCGAGAAACACACTTGGGGAAGGAGGGCACAGTAGGACGTCAAGTTTTGTTGAACGTCGTGCACGATGCAGGTTATAAGTTATTCTTACTCTTACAGGAACACTTATTACATTTGTGATAGAGATATTCGGTGTTTTTATTTTGACACATAAACTGAACCTTGTGGTTTGATCTTGTATTTAGTGATATAAATATATATATATATATATATATATATATATATATATATATATATATATATATATATATATATATTTGTCATGTCGTTGTAAAGACCTCGCCACGACAGTTGTGCCTTCATTAGCAATATCTGCAATACATTTAAAATAAAAAAATTGAAACTATAATATATGGTTGTGTGAAGACCTAAGGCTAAGCCAAACTAAAAAGTTTTCGAAAATATTTATACTAATAGTAAAAAATTGAGTTGTTGAGAGAGAGAGAAATGGGGTTTAACGTCCACTTGACACAAACTAGGTCATTTCGGGACTAACATAAGGTTTAATTTTATTTCAATAATTCGCTTGCGCGTAGGGGTCTTTAGCAGTGGGAGGAAACCGGAGGACCCGGAGAAAACCCACGAGATTGGACAGGCGACCCTACTCCTTGTCACGTACAACCGGGGAATCGAAACCACGCCAGTTGACTCAAAGACAGACTTTATGGTACAGCGCGCACGTGCTAACCATTCAGCCATCCAACCCCCCGAGCTGCTGAAATAAAGACGATGAGACAATGACGTAACATAATAATAGTAAAAAATTGAGTTGTTGAGAGAGAGAGAAATGGGGTTTAACGTCCACTTGACACAAACTAGGTCATTTCGGGACTAACATAAGGTTTAATTTTATTTCAATAATTCGCTTGCGCGTAGGGGTCTTTAGCAGTGGGAGGAAACCGGAGGACCCGGAGAAAACCCACGAGATTGGACAGGCGACCCTACTCCTTGTCACGTACAACCGGGGAATCGAAACCACGCCAGTTGACTCAATGACAGACTTTATGGTACAGCGCGCACGTGCTAACCATTCAGCCATCCAACCCCCCGAGCTGCTGAAATAAAGACGATGAGACAATGACGTAACATAATAAATGAAATCTGGGTTTTTATAAAATAGGTAACATAAGAAAATAGGAATCGAATCCGAACATATACGATCATACGTAACATGCGCAGTTTTATGCATGTCATGTACAAGAAACCATTTCAAACCGGGTGGCGCGTCAAACCGTGACACCGGCATTAGTAACGTCCTCGAAACCTATTTGTGTGTGTGTGTGCGTGTGTGTGGGTGCGTTTGCGTGGGTGTGGAGGTGTGTGTGGGGGGGGGGGGCGGGGGTACCTGAGTTCTAGACCGTTCGTTATTCTGCATTACTCCCTTTTACTGTATACATACTGTAGTCATTCTGCACACAGCTAAATATCTACTTGATGTCAGTGGCAGAGCATATTCCTGAAGCTATGGTCCGAGAAATCCCTCTCTGGCCATTGCTGGATTAGCTTCTGATTCTTGCGCTTTTGAGAGAGTGTGTCATAGATTCTTCCCGTTCAATCAAATCTATCCCCAAGCACAGCAACATGACAGCCCTTCTTTTAATCATGGGCCTTTTCTAAAACAGTGGACAGTGATTTAAGGTATTAAAAACGGTGAAAGTGTTGTTCGACTCAAAACAATATTGTTTACATTATACCCGTGCTGATAGCCTCGTTTGTCACACAATTAGTTTTTCTGCAAAATTCTGCTATGCACTGGTTAATTGGGCATAATAAAATCGTGAGTCATGACGTAACGTTATCTAAACATATTTGGTCCAATTTGGAGCTCTGTTTGGTATAGTTACGCAGTTAGCTATTGGTTGTTAATCGGACTATTGACCATTTATAATTTAGAACAAGAATTTGCCTTCTTTACAGCAGTGAGTAGTGGGATTAGCTCTAATCAAACGAAACACTGCGAGGAGTATGGTGGCAGAGCCGCAGAGATAATCTTAGGTGCCAGAGCGTGACAAATTTTGACCCACCCCCACATCCAAGAGTAGTACACGAATATCGGCAAAGCCGACGTAAAAATATTAAATATTTTTGGGCCCCCTGGGACTCCAAGGGCGTCCGCGGCGATGTACCGGCTACGGCCCCCTCTCCTTGCATGGGCCTGGTCAGCATAAGTTACTAAATTCCGTATGGTAATGCAGTGTTTAACTTGTTAACCAGGGCTCAGTAATATCGAACAATCCAAGGTTTTAATGTCCCGCGCAGGCTTTCATAGGTCTACCTCAAACGAGAATAAAGAATTCTATTTTTAGCGAAAAGCTTCAAGTATTCTGTGTGGCGGTTCGGAGCGCGTGGTTTACGTTCTGTCGTCTGTGTGGAATTATTCATTTTAGGCAATAATGGCAGCTAAATTAGAAGGATTAATTGGTGAGAGTGTCATAAAGAAAAATGGAGACAAAGTTTTAACCAAATCATTATGTGGAAAAGACAGAATTGTCGGGCTGTATTTCTCAGCAAATTGGTGTCCGCCATGTCGGGGATTTACACCAAAGCTTGCCGACTTTTATACAAACTTTAAGAAATCAGAAAAAGGTGAAAATTTGGAAATTATTTTTGTAAGTTGGGATAAAGATGTAGACGGATTTACGGAGTATTTCTCTTCAATGCCATGGCTTGCCATACCATATTCTGATCGAGACAAAAAGGTAGGTTTTATTCTGTATTCCAATATAACGTTGCAATATTGGATCGGGAGTTATGGACAATTATGGCACTGTGTATTCTGAATTAACGTGCGTTACGCTTCTGAGGCAGTCAACATAACTGTTGCATAACTGTTTGCGTTATGCCCGACGGGTAGTCTTCATACCACGGGAACAGAGATGCTAATTTCACCAATAGTAACCGTATTAAGAAAGTATTATTCATTTTAAAAACTGAACAAAATTACACATTGGCATGCACAATCACTTCTTATATTTTATAGTAAATTAGGTACAGGAATAATATTGTATTTACTGTAATATCTCAGATTTCTCTTCTTATTTCTTAGCTCTTTGGTTTTATATGACTTGTGTTCATTGAGTGACAATATTGTGCATGAAGCAGAGTCTGCTTATCCATTTTTGAAACAACTGGTATCACTTGTTAAATGTGATTTAATCCCATCTGAAGATTGTTTGCTTGCCTTTTAGTCAAGATGATTGTGCATACACTTTCTAATGTTTTTATGTCTGTACTTGTATTAACCCCCTCCCCCCCCACCCCCCCGTAATCATTCAAATGTGCATCAATTAAGCTTTTTGGAAATTTATAGTTCATTTCATAGCTAGATGCTGATGCATTATGAGTGAAATTGTGAGCCTCCTTAGTGTAGATAATCAATCAGAAACACCAGAAGCATTGCTTCAGGAATATGGACTTTTAGACACTGTAGATATAAGTAACTTTGGGAGCCACGGTGGCTAGTTGGTTAAGACGCTGGCTCGCTAGTCTGGAGGTCGGGTGTTCGATCCCTGCATTGGCCGAGAAATTTCATCGGGATTTTCCGACGTGGTTTCCCCTTGACAGTGGTGCAGAACGGAGGGCCTGACAAGGACAGCTATCTAGTCCTTCGGATCATACGAAAAACCGAGGTCCCGTGTATACATTGGAATGCATGTAAAAGATCCCTTGGCAGTTGGAATTCGATATAAGAGTAGGCGATAGTGCCGCTGCCCGGGCAAAATTTCCCTCATAGCACACTGTATGGCATATGCCCGTCTTCATTAGCCCAGTATAGGAGCAGAACAGTAGGACGTTAAACCCCATTTCATTTCATTTCATTTATAAGTAACTTTGGGTGTATTACAGATTTTAATTTCTTGTCATCTTCAACTTTTATAATAACCAGCTTTAGTCACCTTGTCAAGGGAGTGTTGCCGTCCCTCTTAATGGATCCAATAGCAAGACTTATAATAACAAGACAACTCAAGTTTGAAATCAAAATTAATTTCTTGGTAATATAATAATCTAAAAACATTTAAAATCTGATGTTTGTATAATAATCTTATATTACAAGCTGTGTGCAACAGTGTCATACATAAAATGATAGAAAAATCATATTTGTGATTATATTGGCACATCAGAAAGTGAGCTGTCATTTGAAAAGAGCACAAATTACGGGATTAGTTGTTGTCATTTGCATACCATAAATATAAAGCGTCTAAAAGATAGTTTAAGTTATGTTTCTGTCGGATATTTCAACTGTCGTATGTTCTATATCTTGAACTAGCAGCATACCCGGCTTATATAGATTTACAAGTGTCAAATTCCATTTTTTAGCAATGTTTTATTATTTTTGAAATTTGCTCTAAATTTGAAAATGCAACATATGATGACTTAAAGTAGCTATTATAAGTATCTAACTCAATATATCTTCGACATTTGAAACACAAATTATTTGTCAATTTAAATCAACATTGATGTTGTGATCTTACGGGGAAAAGATGGGCTTTTGATATCCATTATTTAAGACAAAAATAAACATTTTACGTGTAACATAATGCATTTCAGCGCCATTTGTAACAAGGAACTCGCAGAATAAGGCTAGACATATTTCACAAGTCATGTGAAACGGTGATGCCATATTTTTATCTCGAGAGTATGCGCAATAAATACTATCTGTGTAGGCTGGTATAACCAGATGCTAGAGACTGTCATTCGATTGAGACTTCTGGCATATTTCGGTGAACATAACTTATTTGAAATTAGAGAAAAAACAGAAACGATTGAATGTAAGTCAAGCCTTATACCTAAAAATAAATTATATTTCGGTAATCCACAATCTTATTCTTTCTTCTACAACCATTTTGGTGTATCCATTTCTGAACAGCTCTGTTTTGTGCTGAAAAATGTTGATGAGGCTATTTCTTTAGATTGGTTAATTTCTGTATTTACAGCCACATATCAACATTATAGTAAAGTCTTGGATGGCATCTTTAAAACAATATCCTAGTTCAGTTGGGTTATGTGAAAGCATATCAAGTTTTTTTGACCTAGATAACTTTGAATAAGTTAACATGGTTAAAGACTTTAACTTCATTATAAGAAAATAGTATAAGAACATATTCAAATAAAATGTCAAAACTGTTTACTTAAAAAGTTAGGCCGGCTATTAAAGTATTTAAATGAAAGTTATTAAGGTCTTTCTTATGCTTGAAATGTTTTACAACAATGACATAAAAGAGGCACTCTCAATTTGGCAGAAAAGACCAATCAGAAACACTGTATTCAACTGAATATGATTTGATATGTTCATCTTAGATAGTTATTTGTGTGCAACATTTGTGATTAATTAATTCACTGATCCATTACTGAGATTTAGACTAAATGATGTTATTTGCATTGATATTTAATCAGATTCCTGACACACCCATGCACTACATGATTATCTAACTTTAAACTGACACTAGTAATAACGTTCATTCTTTCTCTATGCTGCTAAAATCACATATAATACTCAGTATATATAATGAATATAAAAATTTAATGCAGTAAATCAGTTATGTTGTCATCAAGGTAAATGCATACCATTATGCGAAATTATTTGAAAGCATGGGTTATTTGACAGAGGGTGGGTGACCTTCTAAAACTGCACAGTTTGTGTCATAGTCTTTGAAGTTAATAGATGACCAGATTCATGCAGGCATAAAGTATAAAACAGATAAAGTGCTAATTTATCTGTTGTTAACCTATCATTACAAGGTTGGAGTTTCATGATGGTTTTAAATACTGTTAAAATCTTGTACCCATCCTTAAGTTTTGGCATTGTGCCCTATTTAGGTTAATTTGCATGAAATGATAACATTAAAGATTTATTATTCCTTGATGAAAGTGGTACTAATTCCTCCTTAAATGCAGTTCTTTTAACATAAATCAGAGAGCAATCTAAATATATGACTTTCATCAGTTCAGTTTGCTCAACTGTATTTTAAATAGGCTACACATACATGAATTGACTGATACAAGTTTAAAAGGTCATTATGTGTGAATTTGACTGGAAGTGTAGAATGCAGGTAGACTCTGTTCACATAAGGTGAAATACCATTGCAACAGTGAATCCAAGAGTGCTAATAATTAATGTGCCCTTTTTTCTCTAAACTTGTTATAAATAAAAATATCTTAACCTCAAAATGTTTACTGTAAATCTGTCATTTACTTGTAGATGGACAAATGGTTCTTTTCCAGTAAAATTTTGTTTGTCCATACCATAGGTCGCTAATTAAACAAATGTGCCCTTTGTGAATTGTTCCCTAATAATGACACTTCCTAACCAGTGGTGTAATTAGAGTTTGTGCCGCCCTGGGCGGTCCTTAAGCTTACCAACACATCTCCCATGAAAACACATCAAACACACTTAAACTGTTAGACAAAATATGAAAATGACATAGGGAAAATTGTTAAACCGGCAAACTTTTTCATTGTAGTTGACCAAAAGTGCTAAGGATACAACTTGACACATGATTGACAATCAAATAAAATAATACAATAATATCTACTTGTGATATACTCTACCGTTTAGATATTAGTTCTCATACTCAGTTATTATACTGATGAATAAATTAATAGATCACAAAACAATCTCATAAATATTTTAAATTTTACTATCTTTCACACATATTTAATTGTATTATCTTTATTTAGTTATGTTTTTGTAATAAATTCTGGAAGTTAAAAGTGAAAAATAATAGATTACATTTCCCTTTCCAGTCAACACTCAAGTTGTACCAAATACATTTAGATAAGATGAAAGACAAACATCTATCTATTTTATTAGCACTCTAATATAATACATATCATATTCATGTATTTGAGACTATAAAGAGATTATTTTATGAAGTCCTACTGAGGATTAAATCAACCTTAACTTTCTATACTTTGGCTTTGGAGATTTCCTTTTAATGTTTTGTCAGTTGGTGCGTTTCAATGAGTCACAACTTAAGTATTATCTTTATTCATTCAGACTGAACTAAATGACAAATAAGTTTATATTTTAAAGTTCATTTCTTTGTTGAAATTGAGTTGAACTTTCCAATTTTCAATCCATGTCTAGCGGTTTGGTAACATCTGTAGACTGACAATTAGAGAGAATAATTCAAATGTATGATTGACGATATTTGACAGATGTAATCAAGATTATATATAAATTATACATTTATTATTCCTTTAATCCTGTTTGGAGTTATGGCATCAGGTATGAAAATTTGGGATGAATAAATACAATAGAGATAGATCCACTTGGCACAAACTAGGTTATTTCGGGACTAACATGGTACAATCTTATTTCAATAATTCACTTTAACAGTGGGGGTGGGGGTTGGGGTGAGAGGAGGAAACTGGGGGGGGGGGAAGCCAGACCCCCAGAAAACTGACAAGATTAGACAAGCAACCATACTCCTAATCAAGTACAAGGTAAAGTTGGCCTCATGTAATAACTGCTGAATTTTTTTAGACCATCAGAACTCAGAAGTAATATTGGGACAATAGAATTGGAAAAATTGTAATGAGGGCAAAGTTCAAGAAAACAAAAAACAAATTATAGGGTCTCTCCACAGCCTGTCAACCCTGCTAAAGGAATGATATATGTGTACACATTAATACAATCAGAAAATAGATTTATAAGAGACTCTTTTGCCTTTCAAAATGTCACAAAACACTTTAATCT